CAAACACACACACACACACACACAAACACACACTCTCACACACCCACAACAAAATACTTGCCCTCTAGTTTTGAATTTTATTTATATTTATAATTTTTTGATTTGTATAAACCAAATTTTGAGTATCTTTCTCTCAGCAATTATTCGTGACGCAGCCAATGTTTTATTGATACTTTATCCGTAGGCGGAGGCCTGGAGACCTATAGCACAGGGTATCCTAGTTTAGGCTCCAGCCTTCACAAACAACAAATGTTTTATTACTTAAGAATGTTTAATTATGGTTGAAATTGTGTGTGAAGGAAATAAATTTATTATTATTATTATATTATTATTATTATTATATTATTATTATTATTATTTGTGTCCTGTACCTAAGTCGCCGCGGCGGTAGTCTTCTCCCGCCGTTCGTCCAAGTGACCTTTCACGTGTTCAGATAATGTCTTAGGCTGCTAACAAATTGACTGCATGTTTGCAGTTAATGCGTGAACTAACGACATCACGCACTAACTGTATGCAGTCGAAACTCAACTGCGTGCAATAGAGATTTCAACTTCAAGCGTCGATGTGAGCAATACGTAGTCCGAGAATCAAAAACAGATTGACAATCTTACGAGGATATATTACTATTTTTTGAGTCTGAAACAACTTTTTTAGTAACGGCAAAAGGTGATAATTATATAATTATTTGAATCTTTAATTAACATTTTCATCTGGCCTTAATTTCAGGTACAGTACATAAAAATCACGTTCTCTGTAGCAACATAACAATAGTGGATCTATACGTTTCGCATGCTTTCGTTTCAGGCTTTGATAACGCCGGGGTGGCGTAACAATAATAGGAGAACTAACGTCCGTGCTTTCATCTCGACGTTATGTTTTTACATTACTGCTCCTGAGTTATGTGCGCGGCGCTAACAGCCTGAGTTAATGTCGACTGTATGCAGTCGATCACGACTGCTTTGTAGCAGCCTTAGTTCGCCCACGTGAGTCAACTGACGATTGTTCCGGCCGCGCCGGGGCATCGCGATCAGCGAGATGATGACGCAACGTGTGCTCTCGCCGATAGTTAGGTAGAGTACCGACACGACCGCGTTCGTGGCCTTGTTGATAACAAACGTGGGTCAAGGTCATGATGTGTTGTAGGGTGGGGGACCGCGTTATCTGTCGTTTGTTTCGGGAAAAAATACAAAGAGATGACGTTAGATACTTTCCTAGAGCAGTCCCATATCTTTCTACATAGTTTTGTTTATAGTGCACCTCCCTAACAACCTCTCGGTTATGCGGGAAGGGCTCTATGACCTGTGCAAGCAAGCCCACACAGGGACCATCTAATTCAGTCCTATCCCCAGATCAGCCCGTTTGCACGGATTTCATCCGGTAGGTGGCTCGCCTAAGGCACTACCGGATGAAACTGGAGCACGTACAGCACCCTCCCTATTTCGCAGATAGGTACCGAAGCTATAAGTAGGCACACTCACTTCCCGCCGCGCTTCACCAACAGTTGCCACCGCTGAGCCGTGGACTCTAAGTCGACTACCAAATCTCCTCATTGATGGCGGAGCTGTAAGGCACGCTCACTTCTCGACGCCGAAAAATGCCGTCTCTCCAGTACCCAAATTCCTATGCAGCTAGAGGGACCGGAGGATGTCTAGTTCATACACTACTAGCTCTCCGGGCTAGTGCCGGAGATGCCGCAGCCGGAGCAGTATCCTGCGACAATGTCCGGACATAATGAAGAAATAAATAAAATAAATAGCTCCCGACTTAAAGGGCAACTCACGTGCCCCGCGCGTCTGCTCCCCTCAGGCCTCGTCGAGACCGCTACTAAGACGCGCTAGATGGCCGCGCGAGACGAACGCCCTGTCCACCTGATATCCTGATCTCCCCGCCAGCCCGTAGTCTACCCAGAACTCCGTATCTCTCGAGTCGGTGGATAGGATTGGTTAGGTACAGCCAAGAACAACTTTCAAACTTATCGCAAGCGGCATAGAGTTGAATTGCAAACCGAAGTACTAAGCATGCGTAGCCCTGTACACGGCGGTAAAGATAATTGATTACCAACAGATTTAAACAATACCTTCTTAGTAAAATATCGAATTCTTTTCGCAATTACTACACATTGGAATTCTTTCGGACCTAAAATCGTGTATATTTCATACTTAGTTCAGAATACTATAACACACAATAAGTCAAGAGGACTGCTTATGGCGCTAGGTACAGACAACACAGCGTAGTCGGGTATTTAATACCTATTGGTACCTAGTCCAGATGTCGCGATGAGTACCAAATAGCTATTTTCGTAACTAATTTGTTTTACATTGACAAACTGCAATTTATCAAAGCTAGGTACTCTAATTTTTAGTGATAACAAACAAATTAACTAGATGACGCTTATTGCATAGATTTTCATGCATAGTGTCGGCTACTCTTTTATTTTTCATTCATATTCATATTCATTTGATCATTGCATTACATGAGTAACGTAAAAGTTCTTAAGGTCTTCAGGGTTAAACAACACGATAGAGATATAGTTTTAGAATTAGACAGCAAACTTATAAAATCTAAATACAAGGTAGCCCAAGCTTTTGAGTCGTTCTTTTCGGAAATTGCTGTGAACACTACAGAATCATTAAATTCCCCCCCCTCTCTTGCTACTGATCTCCTAAAGGAAAATGTTAACGTTTGTGGCAGTTTATTCAATTTCCGTCCTGTTAATCCACAAGACATCATAAAAGCTTTTAAATCAATACATGTTAAAAAAACTGAAGATCTCTGGGGCAGCGAAATGTATAGACTCAGTTATTGATCTAATTGGGGAAATTTAGCTGTACCTTTCAATAGGTGCGTTGACGAAGGTGTTTTTCCCGATTCAATGAAATACAGCAAGGTTATTCCCTTATTCAAAAGAGGTAGGAAAGTTGATCCTAGCAACTATAGGCTCATTTCAATTTTACCAGCTTTAAGTAAAATATTCTAAAAGGCTATGCTGACTCAATTACTGTCCTATTTCGGTAGGAATCATATTTTTCACAGTGAACAATACGGGTTCACTAGTGGCAGATCGACCAGCGATGCGGGGGTAGCGTTACTAAAACACATATTTGATGCCTGGGAAAGGTCCCAGAACGCTATTGGTGTTTTCTGTGACCTCTCAAAGGCATTTGATTGCGTTGATCATATTACTCTTATTAGGAAACTGGAACATTACGGTGTAAATGACAAGGCAACGAAACTTGTCTCGTCATATCTCAACGGTAGAATTCAGGAAGTAGACATAAATGGAGTGACTTCTTTGGGTTCTCCGGTAAAAATGGGTGTTCCGCAGGGCTCAATACTTGGACTTTTCTTATTTCTGATTTATATTAATGATCTGCCATTCTTTGTTAAGGACCATTGCGAAATAGTGTTGTTTGCTGATGACACATCCTTGGTTTTTAAAACAGACAGACATGACATTAACTATGACCATATTAATGATACCTTCTCTAAGGTAGTTTATTGGTTTAATGCTAATAATTTATTGCTTAATACCAAGAAGACAAAATGTGTTAAATTTAAATTACCTAGCGAAAAATCGACTAGTCCAAGCATAGAAATAAACGGAGAAAAGTTAGACCTTGTTAATAAAGCAGTGTTCTTGGGAGTAACCTTAGATAGTAAACTTCAATTCAATTCAATATTCTTTATTGCACAATAAACAAGCAAAAATACAAAACAATCAAAAATACAGTGTACAACAGGCGGCCTTATTGCTAAATAGCAATCTCTGCCAGGCAACCTTGGGGTGATAGGATAAAGTAAAAGTAGTAATAATAATAGAGGGCGCAATAAATATGATATTATTATTAAACATCATAATATATGAATGAAATAAATAATAAATATCTACTAACACATAAATTACATAAATACTTAAATACTAATATAATACATACAAATAAATATATTATCACCACAGAAGAGGAAAATAAAAAAAGAAAAAAAAACAATAAATAAGACAGCAGAGTAGAATTTATAATTTAAGGTAATGAGCCTTAACTAGGATTTTAAATGACTCAATAGTCTTTGCTCGTCTGATCGACTCAGGCAGGTCATTCCACAGCTTGATGCTCCTAATAGTGAAGGAGTTGGAAAAGTATTTTGAGGAATGGATAGGACAGTTCAGAGAAAGAGTAGAAAAAGAGCGCAAGGTGCGAGGGAGAGTACTGCTATGATATTCCAAACAATTCTTAAGATAAGCAGGAGAAGTTGGATTAAAAAGGACAGTGTACAGTAGGGATTAAACGCGGAGATCTCTACGACGACGAATGGGTAGCCATCTAAGTTTCGAGCGAAAATCGGAGACGTGGTCAAATTTACGTAACCCAAAAATGAACCTAATGCAAAGATTCTGCAGCCGCTCTAGTTTGCCGAGGAGACATTCAGACAAATCAGGATAGCACGCATCTGCATAGTCCAGAATAGGCAAAAGGAGTGATTGTGCTAAACTGATTTTCGTCGGAATGGGAAGATAATTACCTAAACGCCGAAGAGACCCATGCGCAGCAAACACCCTCCTACTTAACTCCGTGACATGAGGCCTCCACGATAAGCACTTATCGAAAATAACCCCAAGGTTCCTAACGGTGGCACTGAGTGGGATTTGAACGCTATCAAACGTGATAGGTGGCAGTAAGGAAGGATTAATACGCGTTAGGAACCAGGGACTGCCAATGATTATACATTGTGTTTTGGAAGGGTTGACACTGAGACCAAATGATTGACTCCAGGTGAGAATCCTCTCAAGATCTATATTCGTAGTACAAATTGAGTCACGTAAGTTGGTTAGAGGGGCCTGTGTATATATTTGGAGATCATCTGCATAGAGATGGTAAGAAGAAGAAAATGAAGAAGTGATGGAGTTAATAAAAATAGAAAATAGAAGAGGGGATAATACGCCGCCCTGCGGTACACCAGCAACAACATTACACCACGAAGAGAATGAATCCTCACAACGAATGCGCTGCCGCCGCCCATACAGGTAACTGCGGAACCAGCCAGTCACTGCCGGAGAAATGCCAAGAGAATCAAACAGCGCAAGCAACAAGTCGAAATCAACGGTGTTGAAGGCACTGCTGAAGTCCAACAGAGTAAGGACGGTGAGTTGATGATTCTCCATTCCCAGTCGAATGTCATCAGAGATTTTGACAAGAGCAGTAGTCGTACTATGTCCAGAGCGGAAACCGGATTGTAAAGGATTAAAAAGATTGTGACGAGTAAGGAAAAGGGTGAGTTGATGATGGACAAGCTTTTCAAGGACCTTGGAGAGGAAAGGGAGAATGGAAATAGGGCGATATTCAGAAAGGGAAGTGGGATTCGTTTTCTTTGGAAGAGGAATGATGTGGGCATCTTTCCAAGCAGATGGAAAGGTACCAGTGGAAATGGATGTATTAAGGATTTTGGTTATGACAGGAGTGAGGATATCAATGAGCGGAATGATCATATTACGACTAATGCTATCACAACCAACGGCATTCGATGAGATGGAGAGAATGTTCCTCTTGACATCACCAACAGTGAACTGGCTGAGTTCAAAAGTAGGAATATTAGGTAATGGCAATTCAGAAAGAAATTGCAGAGTATCTGACTTAACCTTGTTATCAATAGAAGAAGAAGAGGAGAAGTGAGTATTAAGGAGATTAAGGCCAACGTCAATAGAAGTTTTGCTATTAGGAACTTTTCCAATACCTAAAGATTTCAAAAACCTCCAGACCTTCGCTGGGTCCCCGTTTTCAACGGATTTATGTACATGACGACGTTGTGCATCTCTAATAATAGTGTTACAGCGGTTTCGAACTTGATGATATTTTTCCCGATTGGCATCAGACGGGTCGGCTCTAAACACTATTTTAGCCCTGTTTTCGATGCCCATATGCTTGCGGATAACATCATCGAGCCAAGGAGCAGGAAGGTGCTTGACGCGCACAGGACGAACAGGAGCATGGATATCATACAGTTGAATGAGCGAGGAATTAAAAAGTTGCAACTGTTCATCAACTGAATCGGCCTGTTCAATAATTGACCAGTCCATGGCACTGGCATCCCCACGCAGTCTGGTAATGTCAATATTGGCAAAATTTCTTTGCATTAGAATTTTGGGCTTTGGCTTAGGAGGACGAACCTTATACGAAAGGTACACTAGATCGTGGTAGGAAAATGCCTCTGCAGTAAACTTGATGAAATGCTTGTCGACGTGGTTAAGTGAGGAAACCACTATCAAATCTCTAAGAGAGAGAAACTTCAATGGTTTCCACATATATCTTCCCTGGCCAGCAGATTAAGCTCCGCTGCATACGCAGTCCGCAGAATACGTGAGCTTACCGATGTTAGTTCTGCAAGACTAGTTTACTTAAGTTACTTCCATAGTATAATGTCCTACGGGATTCTCATGTGGGGTAAAGCGGCAAATATTCAAACCATATTTATATTGCAAAAACAAGCGATTCTATCTGTGTACCATCTAGGCTCACGGGTTTCTCTGAGAGAAAAGTTTAAGTAGACTGGTATCATGACTGTGGCATCACAGTACATTTACTCAAATATTTTATATGCCCGTAAACATATACATAATTTCAATAAGAAAGAAGATATCCATAATATTAACCTTACAGCTAAGTCCAAACTCATGGTACCACGATTTCGTTTAACCAAGGTAAACAACTCTTTTATGGGGAACTGTATACGTTTTTGCAATAAGATTCCGGAGCATATATTAAGGTTATCATTTCCTAAGTTTAAAAACTACATTAAAAAAATCTTGATCGAAAAATCATATCAAAAAAATTGAAGACTACGTGTTAGATAAAGATGTATGGAAAGACGACACGGCTCCAGAATCCACACAAATTGGATTCAAAGTGTATTCCATAGCATTTAAGTTTATTTGAAAAGAGCAATCCCTAGAGTTCTTGTTCGTTCTTCTCTGGGAGGTCAGCGCATTGAACGAGCAGTAGCTTAAATGTGACGTTTTCAAGTGTAAATATATTTTACCTATGGAATAATTAATCTTTAACTTTGACTTTGACTTAAAATAATATAAAGCACAGCCATGTAACCCTGCAGAGCACTGCAATTTGATTGACTTGAAATAAATTTTATCATCATCATCCATCATCGACAGCCTGATTTCACCCAGTGCTGGGTATAAGCTTCCCGAAGTTTGTACTTTCCACCACGGTCCTGTGCTAGCCGCATTCATTGACGCCCCGCGTCCTATATTGTCCTCCCACCTTGCAACAGGGCGCCCTGACGCGCCTTTTACCCATCCCCGGCCACCAGTCAGCCCCATTTGAGTTCCATGATCCGAGTTCCAGGATCCTGGACTTACGTCCGTCGTCGGATAGCAACGTTCGGAACTCGATCTACAAGGCCGATGCCAAACATAGCGCGCTCCATAGCCTTATGTGCAACTCTCAACCTGTATACATTCTCCTGCATGAGCGTCCTTGTCTTGGCACCATACGTCATGGTGGGCTGAACACATTAATTAAACAAGCGGGTCTTTTGACACTGTAGAACCTTAATTGATTAATTGATTGGATGTTATCTAACTTGTCCAACGCAGCCCATCCCAGCTGGATTCTTTTTGAGATCTCCTTAGGCTGATGCTCTTTGAAAAAAGATAGAACATTCCCGAGATAGACGTACTGATAAATTCTCTCCAGCCTCTCATTTCCCACCGTGACAGTGGTATTTGAGGGACTGGAGAAGTTCGCCATCATCTTGGACACGTTTATCCTCAGGCCAACTCTCAAAGAAGCATCATAAAGTTGTTCCAGCATTCTTTGGAGATCGTCGAAACTTTCTGCTAATAGTACAAGATCGTCCGCGTATCTTTGGTGAGACAAATGGACACCATTATCCCATTTAAGGGTTTTTACGACATCCTCAAGTGCTGCTGTGAATAGTTTTGGGGAAATTGTATCTTCTTGTCTCACTCCTTGCTGGATTGGAACGGGATTGGTTAAGTCGTGAACTCGTACCTGCAGAGTGGCTAAACCCACAGGAGGAGGTCGAACCAACTAGGAACTGCAAACAAATACGGTTCATTCACCGTTACACCTAAACGCCACTGGAATTTTTCTTTTTCACACATACAAATTCAACATCATACTCAGTGAATGTTATATCTGAAGTGTTTATATAAAATGAACATTACGCCATCGATAAATTACATTGAATGTTGTTATATCAATCGTTTATCATACCCAGTGACCTTTATGTCACGCAAGAATATATCAAATGTCTGTATACCAGAAATTAATTAGGTATATCTGTTGAGCGTTATGTCGACTAAAAATATGTCATTTGTTGTTATATGTTACGAATCGCACCCTAATTAAATACTATGTCAAATTATTGTTAAATTAAGTAAAAAAGTCATTTAAATAATTAAAATATTAACATGTTAAGTTAAGTTCAAAATTAAAAAATAGACGATACCAACGCTGTCAAACAGCTGAAAATGTAGTAAGCCTCGAGCATAAAACTAATGAGGTCTTGTCAACATGTGACTTTTCGTTCAAAAATAACAATATTATCATCAACACGAGCAAGACAAACGTTTTATTGTTCCGAACAACACCTAGAAACCACGAACGCATAGACATCATGATGAGTAATAAAACTATAGCCTCGTAGGTGCACCTATATTCGATGACTCAATTCCAGCCTTTTTCAAAATTCAATCTCAAAGTTGAACTCATGTACAAATAGGCTCCTGAGCCTAGACACCCACTACGCCATCTGTATTTTAAAATATTGCCTTTTCGTTCCTAAATTTACATTATGTACTGCTACGCTTCTGTCCGACTTGGAAATTCCATAATCAGCTCAATAGATTCTGACCTAAAAATTCTTCTTCAATCCATTCTCACCCATGCTACCCTCCCCATCAGACGTGGTATCAGGAGTATATCAGCCATAGCCCTTCCGGCCTTTTTGTCCTCAATCTAAAGCACAATCAACCTCGTAGGCAGTATCATAAGGTTTCCGCCAACAACCTGCGAGGTGACGTGCTTAATTGAGCCCAGAAACACCTGGAACCAGCCTTGCCCCAACGAAAATTCTCCGTTCGACCCCAAAATTCAAAGGAGCTGGGATAATATTCTGTGCAAAAAGACTTTTAAATGACTTAATGAATCATTGCACCCCAATAGACCGAGCGCGTCTGGAAGCGGCGTCCAGATGGAAACTGGCCACTGGCTACACGCTTTCCCCTCTGCCTGAGCGCCGAGACCATTCGCATAACTAAAGGTCTCCGCCTTGGTGTCCCAGTTTGCTCCCCTCATCCTTGTCCTTGCGGCAAAGACGTAAGTGCTCTGGATCACCACAGTCTTTCCTGCCAGCTGAGCGTCGGCCGTATCTCCTGGCATGCAACCCTCAACAACATCATCCGCCGGGCCTTAGCCACTGTCAACGTGCCCGCTATCCTCGAGCCAAGCGGCATGTCGCCAACAGATGGCAAATGCCCGAACGGAATGACTCTCATCCCTTGGAGTATGGGCTGGGCACTGGTGTGGAACGCCACATCGGCATACACACTTGCCCCATCCCGTCAGACACACCTACAAGAAGGCTGGCTCCGCAGCTGAGCTGGCAGAAAGAATAAAAGTTCTAAGTACCAGGATCTGGACTCCGACTACCTACAGCCTTTGGAGTCGAAACCCTTGGCCCATGGGGTCCCAGTGCCCTTCATCTGTACAAAATTTTATCGAAAAAATTAATTGACTGTCTGGGAAACCCAAGGGCCGGCAGCTACCTTGCCCAACGCATTAGCATAGCAATACAAAGGGGGAACGCTGCCAGCATCTTGGGCACCTTACCGCGGGGACCCAATTTTATTCATATAATTTAAAAATCCTCGCTTTACTTTTAGTAGTTAGCTTTTATTGTCTTTTTTACCTTACCTGTATATTATCTCAATTAAAACCCCGTATCAGGTTTTGGGGTAATGGCTATGACTATAACGTAAAAAAGGCCTTCGCAGTACAGAAAAGAGCAATAAGAACCATAGTTAGAATTCCGCCCCGGGAGTCGTGTAAACCTTACTTTAGACAACTTCACACAATCTACATTAACGGTTCCTTGTCTCTATATTTTGGTGTTGCTGACAGGCGTGATTGAAAGTTCGACTGAATTTAGTAAGGAGACCGAGTCAAATAGGCTTGTTACTAGGAGGAAGGACAGACGTGGTGTATAGCACCAAAGTTAAATATTGTTTAAACATAGTCCAAGATATCAAAGAACAAAAATGTTTAATAGTCCCTGCCCAACTTAAAATAGCACAAGTTTCTATATCATTCAAAAAGAATTTGAAACATGTCTTGTTGGATAAATCATTTTATTGCATTGATGAATTTGTTGTTGGAGGCTTTTGAGTTTAATTTAATTAAATTTATATTTAAACGTCGCAAGGGTATCTAATTGACATTGTTACTATAATTGTATAATTTTATTGTCATTATTTTGCCTCAATGACTTGTCAATATATTAAATTATTTTCGATCTCTTATTATTATTTTGTATTTTATGTAAGTTTTTAATTGTAATTGTATTTTTTTCCAACCCAATCTATTTTGTTAAGGAAATAAATAAATAAATAAGTATTTTGTAAGTTTTTTAATGAAGGTTTTATTGTTAACCTCATTTTTAATGCATTTAGGAATATTGTTATAAATTTTTATACACATAGCATAAGGACCAGAGCTATGCATTATTAATAATTTTGAAGCTGGAACCATTGACCTTGCCTGGAACCAACCAATTTACGACACAGACAAAAAATCGGGTATTTTTAAATTTGTTGGTTGCTGTTCATTCGGAAAAAGGTGTCTGTTTTTTCTTAAAAAATTATTCATTTCTAGGATGTAAATTGATGACAAGGTAAGAATATTAAATTTATGAAAATGTGGTTCACAGCTTTCTGTTCGTTTAGATTGGCTATTATTCTTATGCAATAATTTTTATATATAAAAATTTCGCCTACATCCGCTCTATTTCCCCACAAGTTCACTCCATATCGGAGCTACGCGGCATAAGCGTAATACGCACTTATAGCTGTTTTAAGATCAGTGGTCTTTTTAATTCCAGTAGCCCTATAAGTGATGCTAACCGATTTGGAGCATATTTTTTGAGTATGTACACAGGGCAGCACATCAAACTACACATTGACGTATCTTGTTCCGTTGCAATGGAGGCGATTTTCGAACAAAAATGTGTAGATCCAATTGACGTGAGTATCAATTTCTAGGTCAAGCAATTTGGACGTGCCTACGCATTCCACAACTTCGTCGTCATTTGAGAAGTCGATGTTGAGGTTACTCCTTTGTCCTTACCAAAATTGAAATTGCATTACTTTGGTTTTATCGATATTTAGTTCGAAATTGTAGACCTTAAACCAATTAGTCACTTTATTTAGGATACCATTAAGATGGGAATTAAATGTTTTACTTCGTTTTTAAGCGAGAACACAATGGAGATGTCGTCTGTGAAGATGACGGAGTGTTCATCGAGCACTTTGGGTATTTCGTTTCGTTTATGTAAATAATGAACAGCAAAACAACCGAGTACACTGCCTTATGGAATGGAACCCAACATGTGAGCTTTGACAGATTCTACATTATGTGTCAATCTTGAATGGGGATTATGGAATTTTATCTGGACATATTGTTACGACAGAGACAGGACAGAGAGGACAGAGAGGTACGACTGGAACTATTTATGTGCCAAACCCCTAACGCTGTAGGCGTTACGTTACGTTACAATTATAATAATAGTATCCTGTAGGGCACTTTATCGTATGCCTTACTCATATCGAGTAGAATACCGATTGCATTGCATTGCAAGAATTTGTATAAAGCTAGAGTTGTAGATATTTTTTTTCTGAAATCGTGTTCTTTCACTAAACACTTAAAATTTTTCGCAGAAAGAGTAAAGTATGTTCGAGACAGTAATTTCAAAGATTTTTGCAAAAGTAGGCTACTGGTATCACCTTTTCTGTGGGTGAGGATGATTTTGGATATTTTTTTCGAATCAGGGGGTCGATTCAGAACCTTACGATAACTCAGTTGTCGACCGACTTGATTTGATATCGTACGATTTCTTTTTATTTTTATTCACAACACCCGAATCGAACGTCAAATTGTTGTATTCGAACCCAAACCAAAACGTCACATCCGTAAGATTACTCGAACTTCTCGACCGGTAAAGGCGACAAACGTTATTCAGAACACAGTTATCGAATGAAATTTACCGAAATTCCTATTGTTTACAAAGAAAGAATGTAATATGGAAATCTCTTATTATTTTAAATAAAGTTTAATTTTATTAATTTATTTTAATGCAAGACTAATGCATTCCTATATTTAAGGCCATTAAAGTCTTAAAAATATGTATATAAAAGGATTTTATTTTTCTTATAATCTTTTTCACCGACTACCTTCGCAAACGCTGTTGGATAACGATATCGTATCCGGATCCGAATGGAACGTTTAACTCGAATGTTCTGAATAGCTCGGAAAGCGCCCTTCGATTCGCGAACGATATCCAATCGTACGATTCGGTTAAAATATCGAAGACTTTTGAATCGTGGTCCTGGACGGGTAAAGGCTACAAACGTTACTCATGTAAAATACTTAAAAACGTATACCTGTCAAAGAATTTTCATTTTTCTTATAATATATTTCACCGACTAACTCCGTAAACGTTGTTGGATAACGATATCGTGACTGAATCCTAATCGAACGTTTAACACGAATGGTCTGCGCTCGCAAGCGACCTTCGATTCGAGAACGATATGCAATATTCTGAATCGGAGTTCTTGTACTGTGCCTTCGTTAAATGATTGATTAATAAGAAATATAAGTGGAGGATCCAGTTCATTGGAGCACTTTCGTATAAGAGACGGTGGAAACTCATCGTGTCCAAAACTTTTTAACTTTTAAGCTTATGGATCATCTTGTGTACTGCACGTTCGCGAGCAGGAGTTAAGTAGACGAAAATTTTGTTTCGGATTAGCGCCATCTACCCACATTAATAAGAGTTAATTTATGAATTAGTTTTGTAACATACAATGCCATCTGTAATAGTTTTAGTTCGTGATCAATATTTGAATAACATTTTGTGTGTAGGTCAATACTATTACAGGGGAAAAAAATCTAACTTCTTATATTCTATATTGTCAACGATATACAATTTCTTTCTTGTTAAATACTTCTTTATTATTATGTCAAATTTTTTTTGCTGAACATGTACAAAATCGAAGCATTGTCCTGAACGCCTCGCGCGAGCACAACCCAGACTGACAGTCCTACTCCAGAACTTTACTCATTGCTCAAGTCAGGATTTGAGTGTGATTTCAAGCACTGGAAATACGACACTAAATGCAAAGACTTGAGTATAATTTCTAGTGCTTTAAATCATACTCAAGTCCTGACTTGAGCATTGAGTATAGTTCTGGAATACAACCCTGAACTTTCAACCATTTCAAAAGAAAGAAAGGTTCAAAAACTTCGTGAAATGGCTTTCGGTTTATCTTATTCTCAACAACGTAAGTGATCCTAAAACAAAAGTTTACACATTACTGCACCTTACCCCCAGATCAACACGAAAGAGTAGGTATATTGACTTGTGTTCCCAGAGTGGAACCTTCGTAGATAAGATCACTGCTGCGAAATCCAGACTTAGAAACTCCCCAAGACCGTCGAGAGCGACGCTTATGACCTCATATTGAACTGGCAGGTGCGTACCAGGCTACATGCAATGGTGAGAAAACATTCACACCTAACCACAGTCCAGAATACGGAAAACCAAACCAGGAGATCGAGAGCAGGCTCGTAGCTACACCTCAGACCGTAGATATGCCGTAGATAGAAGCTTCGCGTAGTAACACGACGCCTCGGAAGGCTCCACTATGAGCTGCAAATGGATAACGGCCTTGTATGGGTTCGTCACTTAGACCAAATTCTGGGAGCTCCTCTGATTCTGAGTTAAGGAATTGGGGCGGAGGATTGACGTGTATCCGTTACTAAGTAACCATACTTGCTTAGTCATTCTATTATTTACTAATAAATATAAAATGTATTACATAATTTAATTTTGCTTATTTTACGTATATAATACATACATATTTTGTAGTTTATATGGCATATTTATCCGGGCATAATATTGAGAAATTGGTCGAGTACCCGACAGGTGTGCACACTGCACACGGGTGTACTGTGTACTACACATATACTAAAGACCCTGTATAATCTAGGTACTTACCTATTGTTTTTCAAAATCATCATAACGCTTTGATTTAAACTTTGCCGATATTCACACGTTATTCAACACCGGGACTTGATAGACTATAATTATAGTTTATTTACCTTTTTTTATATACAAAATCATGACAAAAACATGGTGCTCATTTGACCTGTATCTCACGAAAAGCGACTACGAGGTCGACGATGTAGCATGCACACCTAGAAAGCACATGATGCTTAATCATTCTCGCCTTGAAAACGTCCAAGTTATTGCGTTTGAGGAATAAGTCCGCAGGCAGGGATTTCCGTTCCTAAGCCGCTCGCCAAATAGGTAAATGTGAAAGCGA